ACTTTATTCGCAATCTAAAGTCACTGCTTTCGACAGGGGTGTTTTAGAACCTATGGCAGTTTTCCGATGCCTCAATTTACCCCTCTGTAATTTTTTTAAAATTTACACCCTAAACATTTTAAATCTTTTATTAAAAAAAATAAAGGGTGTTACTCTAGGTCATTTACGTCGAACCGCTCAAAATCAGTGAACTTAATTCGAAACGCGCACTGCGGGAACTTTCTATTGTGTGCCATATGCTCAAATTTGGCAATATAAATAACTCAGCCAGATTAATCTCTGTAACTTTTTTCGATTCCGAGTGACAACGCCTGCGGCGCGTCGGATAGGCCTTCCCGCCAAATGTGTGTGTGGAGATAGTGGCCTACCCTCGGCGCCTGAGCGGTGAGCGGCGATACCCCCTGCTACCCCTGCTCTCGCCAGCGTAAGTGGAAGTGGACGCATGTACCACACCCTGCAACGAGACTACTACGGGCAACAGTGTTGTTTGCTGCGTCGTAAAGAGTTCAATCCGTTTGTGGTTGTTTCGACTTCGCGGAGGTAAGACACTGCTGTTGTTATTTTATTTTTGTTCGGGTTCGTCTTTGCAAATTATAGATTTGTCAAAATAGTGTCATAGAGACACCTCTATCTATGCGTAAACGCGTAAGAACGCAAACGTGATAAGTCTCATTCACAAGCTTATCTACATAACCTCATTTTGAATTTACTGCCTTGTGCTAAACTTTTTTGACATTTCTCTAAGGCATATTTAAAAGAACGTCTAAAATTTCTTCTGTTTACTTTTATCCGGCTGTTGGTATTTGGTGTCTAGCCAAAGATGTTGAATCTAGAGAGAATGAAAACCCACAAAATAAGAGCGCTCAAAATGATACCATTAAGTAACCTGAATAAAAGTTCATTGCTTTAATTAAGACCAGCGTCTTTGCTCTGCAATCGTACTATTATCATGTTTGTAGGTGTTATGTGTCCCTAGATGAAAGTACAAACCGTTCATAAAGGGTGACACCGCACTGAGATCAATAATCGTTCTTCCTACCACCAAGAAGGTGAAGTGGGCTGGAAAAGAACAAGTAATGAAAGCCTCAAATGGCCTCAAATGAAAAACTGATTGATATATTTTGTGTGCAGTGAATGTAACTAAGGCATAGTTGTGAGTAATTTTGGCCCCCCGCTCCTCATTCTGTCACCCTCTCAGCTCTAGCACATGACTCTCCTCCTGCGGGTACGGAGGGAATTAATAATACTCAGTAAGTCATGTGAGGGTGTTTTTAAAATAGAAAAGACCGCCAGTTTGCTCATTTTCTGTCCCTAGGGAATAACTGCTCTTAATGTAATAGTTCCCAAAATTTTGGGGTTTTGCAAGTGGGATTCTAATTTTTTGTTTACATTTAGAATAAATTTTGAAGCCTCTGAGATCCCTAATGTCTTTAATCTTTCTGATGCACCAAGGATTGCGAAAGAGAATGGAAGCAGCACTGGAAGAAACGAGGGCTTACAAAAAAGTTTTACTTTATTTATTTTCATGAAATCTTACAAATGTTAATTATGATGTGTTCATACTTTTCTTTTATCTTCTCATTGATTTTGCAGTTTTTTCTGCTCAAAGACGGGCAGAAATATTCTAGTTCATGCCAACTGAATGCTCCTTTTCTCTTTAGTCCTTGAATAATTGATAAAGATGGAAAGTAAATAATATGGAAACAGAGTGAAAAGTCCATGAATATTATATATTATATTCAACGTTTGACGTTGAGTTGACATTGTTTGTCGTAGGCAACGCTTTTGAAGCATAACAAGTTAATGTTATGCAGCTCCCCAAAACTGTATAGAGTCCAGAGAGGAGTTGGTGCAACCATGATACATGTTGACCGAAATTCTGTTTTTACCCTTGTAGCAGGAAGACTGTCTCTAAGTTGCATCTGCGCTTGACATCAGCTAAGCAGCCGTCAGATGCTGAGTCGGCGTCACAGCACACAGCATGAGAAATGGACCCTTTTCCTCATGATCACAGGAATGAATCTGGTAAGTTTTGTCTTTTTATGTAATGTTAAAGTCATGTTGGGTAAAAGTTTATTTTGGTATCTGTTTCTATTAGGGGGTTACTTGTCATATCTTTACTGTCTCTATGCTACCTCCATATGTATGGCTTCTTGATCTCAAAATATGTAGTAGTTAGTTGATTGTAGTGAAGGGAAGTGGAAAAGGCAAATCATCAGTATGTCACTTACAGTAATGCTGCTATTTATTTCATTTGTATGGTACAGTCATAGTAAAATAGGAAGTGATGCTGGTTCTTGTCCATAGGGATATGCCTGGACTTGATGCTGGCCACCTGTAACATAGAATTTCATTCGATGAGCTGGCATCACAGTGATACATATGGACCAGA